ATTGTAAGGGCAAAAAGCAGCTTGCTTTCTTCTCATCAGGGAGAAGCAGGGAAGAGCTTTCTATTGAAACCAGTATGGCCGCTGCCCACCATAACAGCCAGACTGAGGCAGAAACCTAGACTAAGCATTCCTTTTCCAAGCAGATCTCCCAAGGAGCTTTAGAGATGACCTTATCTTTGACCATGGAGAACTTTAGACTCTGGAAGTCCCCCTAGGGGCTGAGAGCAGAAGTAGGTATCATGAGTGCAAGCATGCCCAGCTCCACGAACTTTTCGAGCAAGTGGCCAGGTTGCAAGAGGAAGGTACCAGACAGTTGTAGTATCCAGGAATCAGAGAGAGGTATTAAAGGGTGGTACTGTGAACTGATACAAGCTGACCAACAGCCCTTGTCTTAAATCCCTGAAAGGGAAACAAACTAAACTAGCTTCCAACCTAGAAGAGACATACTACAATAACACAAACAAGAAGGAGGACCAGTCCTTCATTTCTGCTAACAACAGAAGGAGTTTCCCCCCTGCTCCCACAGTGGCCCTACAGAACAAATATGAGCCTGAGGCTGGAAAAAGGGGAAGGTATGGGTAGTGGTCAAGACCTGCAGTGTCTGATGCATGGACTCAGATGTGAATGATCCAAATTGTTTATTACAAGTTCTCACATCACTTATATACCTTCACAAGTTTTCTTTTTCTAGCTTTCCCATCCACCTTTACATGTCAACAGAGCATTCTACAAAACACTCTTGAACCATTCACACCGGCGCTTATCTAATCAGAGTTGTGAGACATTCTTTCTTCTTCTAGAGGTGTCCTTGGTTCTCATGCTGTTTATCTTGCTCCACAGTTTCTGCTCTGAGCAGTTTTTCTTGTATTCCCACAAAGACCCAAGAAGTTGGTAAGTTGGTACAACTAAGCATCCTAATTAGAACCAGTGCTACCAAAGGATGACAAAGGGCGTTAATAATCAGGGACTTCTGAAAGGCACTGAATCACTCATTTGCCATTTGGACAGTCTCTCCAGAGAGTTTTGCTGCCTGCCAGGGGCCCACGTTTGTAACATCAAGAGGCTACTGTCACCAGTAAAGCTAGAGGACTGCTATCCACTTCTGCTCTCTCAAGTAGCATCACATGAGGTTGTAACACAGAAACCACAAAATATTAAGAGACTTTAGGTTCCCAGAAAGATGTTGAAGGGATCAGGAATGCAGGTAGTGTTCTCCTCTATTCTCCCGTTGAGGACCTTGACCTATGCATTGGTCAAGGTTGTGGGTGCAGGATTTCATTTTATTTCCTGAACATTACTGCTAAAATATGGAGCCTCTCTCCAATTCCAGGCCTCCTTTTTCCTCTGCTTCTGCTCTCTCTGCTTGTATCAGATCTATCAATTGTGCAACCTCAAAGCGAGTAAAAACAGCTCAGAAATCAAATGAAAAAATAAACCCTTTCATTATCAAAACCCACTAATTTTCCATGAGATCCTATTTCCACACAGTTATGTTACTAGATTGCAGTGGAAGCAAGCAACCACATATACAATGTCAATGTGGTCATGTCCTGAAGCAGCAACTAGACTGCAGCTAGACTGAATTAAACATAACAAACTTGAAGCCTAAGCACTGACACATGACCCTCACCGAGACTTATTATTGTGAGCACAGAGACACACAAGGACACCTAGAGAGCTACAGGCAGACCTGTCTTCATCTAGACAAAAGCACAAGACATTTGATTACATGAGCTTAACCCTGTAGAGGTGTCAGAGAAGCTAGGTCCCTTAACTTCCGCCACCACCTCCTCAGTTTCGTTCATTAATTGCCCTGGGATTGATCTTTCCTCACTGATAGAAGAATTCTTGATGAAAATAAGGTGCTCAGAACAGCGTGATGCCAATTTGTCTCAGTCTCAGAGCTACTGCAACTACTCTGCTGTAATAGCGACCTCAGAAGGAGCCATTCAAAGAACATCATTCAATGATTTTTTTTTGAAAAATGCTTCAGTGCAGCTCTGACTTAGCTTTACTTATATGCAAAATATAATCCAGCAGCACCTAGGGACTCACAAGAGCAGAGTAGAGGGGGACAATCACCTCCCTGTCCCTGCTGGCCACCGCTCTTCTGATGGAGCCCAGGATCCCATTTGCTTTCTGAGCTGCAAGAGCACACTGCTGGCTCACGTTAAGCTTTTCATCCATCAAGACCCCCAGGTCCTTCTCCACAGGGCTGAGTCAAGGACAACCTACAAACAATGTGTTTTTGAAG